TTTTTGTGAACATACAAGTAGAAGCTGTTGAAATAACGGCATTAAATACATTCAAACTGTTTGTCTTCTGCTGTTAGTTTCTTCTACATTAGCTCTGCTACTACCTACTATTGTCCCATCCCACAGTAAACATTGAAGACCAATCTGAATGGACTGAACCACTGACTGAGTCATACAGTGGATTGACCAGTGTGATTTCCAATCCAAATATCAGAAGTGCGCATGTCTAATTAAAAGCATACTTTACACATAAACACCAAAGAAGGATGGGTTTATTAAAAATGTACTCAGTTATGAAGATCTACCTGCTGGATTCATTGTAATATAGGAAAAAACTGTCCTGGCACCAAAGGGAAGGAAAACGAACATATTTCATAGGCTCGGGAGCTTATATAAACATCCAATCACAGTTAATCTTATTAAGGAAAGTCCCTTCTATCAGGGCGCGACCACCAGTGAAGCGCTCAGGAAGGTCAAGCCAAAGGGGCATGACCAGACTGAAGGTGCTCGTTCAAGTGGCTGCGCCATGGATGGAGCAGAAGATGGATTCGCGTACCTCTGCGACATACACGGTTAGCACACATTCAAAGAGAAAAACAGAGACTGGATGATCTAGATTACACTAAGCCAGCAGTGTCAACAGTTAAACATGATGGTGAATAATGTTACAACTATCCACCTAGCTACCAAGACATTTGGTTGCTAGCTACAGTGGCTACCTAACGTCACGTGACACGCTCTATTAATATTAATTATTGCAAACGTTAGACATCACTTAGTTTTATTTGTTTTGTTTTTATCTTTTGTTTATGTGCATCATCAGACTTAGTATTATATTATTAAACACCCCATTCAGGTAGTACAAATAAGGACTGTTTTTGTCTTGTTTTAGAAATGTCTGAACCACCTTATGTGCATTTATCGGAACTTTATTTCTTAAATATTATTTTATTTGAGTTTCCTAAGTTTAGATTAGAGATTCTTTTAGTATTGTCATTCAATAATTGTTTGTTTTTTAGATTCTTCTTCTGATCTTGCCCCTACTGCAACTGCCCTTCTTAACAAGGAGAGACAGGAACTGACTTTTCTTAAGAAGAAACTGGAGTCACAAAAGATGAAAATTGAAGAACTCGAAGGAGAGAGTGAGATTTTCTCCGTGGTCAGTTCCTCTGAGGTCAGCTATCGTCCCTTAGAAGTATGAAACTAGACTAGTTCCATAAGCATTATTTTTTATTTTACCTTCTTCTAATAAACATCAGGTAATTTATAAATCCCAGTTAAGTTCCCTTATTGTCATTGTGTTGATTAAAAGACTGCGCTTTAGTCAGTTAACTTGAAGTGTTGTGTCAGTTCATTCCTAAAGAGATCCAGAGTTCCAAATTCAGTTCAGCCAGGTCTAACTTGATTGATTCATTTTCATTGTTCATAAGATCAAAGCTCCAACTTGAACTAGTTATCATTCATTTATCATAATCTTTCTGAAACAAATTTAACAATATATATTTTATGATGTCATTCACCAATTGGCATGTAGATTATGCCATTACCCTAGTATCTGTTTTTATTCTTCTCTGTTGTCTTTGCTCTCATACACAAGTTTATAATGGCTGAATTCTCTCATTCACATATTTTAATAGTTTAAAAGAAAAATGACGATGGCAAAGCATTCATTTAGACCAGGGGTCCCCAATCCCAGTCCACGAGGGCCGGTGTCCCTGCAGGTTTTAGATGTGTCCTTGATCCATCACAGCTGATTTAAATGGATAAATTACCTTCTCAACATGTCTTGAAGTTCTCCAGAGGCCTGGTAATGAACTAATCATGTCATTCAGGTGTGTTGACCCAGGGTGAGATCTAAAATCTGCAGGGACACCGGCCCACGTGGACTGGGATTGGGGACCCCTGATTTAGACTGTAGTTGTGTCACTTCTATCCTTCTTGTTACCGCCTGCTTAGCACAGATGGGATTTGCCACACTTTTTCCCCCTTTAAAAAATACACAATAATAGGTAATTACTCTCAAGTACTGAAACTTTATGTTGTAGAGGACAAAAACATTTGCTCATTACACTATTTTTTTGATAATGTTGTAGCCTTTAAAGCAGAATTAATATTGGTTGTTTGTATATAACTTTACATATATGGGCACATGATGCTTTTCTTTAACAAAATCCTCATTCTGTTTAAGCACACAAGCTGACAAAATCATCAACTGTGTAATTTAAATACACGGGGACTTTGACTTTGAAGCGGCGGCTACTCTGCACATCTTTGTCACTCAATGTAACCTGACGGGTGTAAAATATCTTATTTCTAAAGCCAGTCATATTCTTTTTTGCATCCTGCAGAGCAACCTAAAGACGAACTATTCAATGATCCATTTTCCTTGAATGCCTCGGAAAACTCAGATTCATCTTCCACATCTTCATCTGTATCGTCTGTGTTGTCATCCTCATCTTCATCTCCAAAGAAGTGAAAGCACAAATTAAAGAAAAAGCATTCAAGAGCCAAGAAACATGAGAAGGAGCATAAGAAGTTCCGGCAGCGCTGTGAGCAAAAGACTTTGGTAGAAAAGAGTGTACAAAAGAGGATCTTATAAATGTCACATAAAAGATAGTATTATCATTTAAAATTTTTCTACAAACTAGTCTGTATTTGCTACCTTATCTTAATATAAGGTTTGGACTGATTTTGGACTAATCATTAGAAACATATACAATAAAAGTTCCCCTCTCCTCTGGCTGACTGCTCAGTCTACCAGTAGCATGGTGTTTTGCGCCTCTGGTATTCTTGCCTAAGATTGAGCAGTATATCGAGTTTTAAATAAATATCAATATACTTTCATACGAGATATAAGATGTGTCATTATCGTTTATATCGATATAGTCTATGTTGAATTATAATTATACTTGCGGAGCCACTAGTTTGTCTCTCTTTTTTGTCCACTTTTGTCTCTACGCAACGTTACTCTGTCCCGCCTCTCTCCTTCACTGAACACAACTCCCCTTCTCTCATCGTTTTACCTGCAGGTAGCGACAAGATGCACTCGGCAGCTATCAAAGAGGAGCTAGTCGGTAAAAAGAAAACATTTGGAGATTATTATTATTGATTCGGATTTAAAGTGTCAAATGAGCAGGAGAATAATGTATTCTGTAGAGAATGTTGGGAAAGCGGTCTGACTAAAGGTTCGAGCACTGCTAGTATTTTCACCATTTACAACAGCGCCATGAGGTGTAGAATGAAGAGTGTGTGAAACTGCGTGCTGTATTCCAGACCACAAAGTCTTCCCAGCCTCCTGCCCCTAAAAAAGCCGCCTTACAAAACTCATGTACCGTATTTTTAGAACTGTAAGGCACACTTAAAATCCTTTAATTTTCTCAAAAATCGACAGTGCGCCTTATGTCTGAATTCTGGTTGAGTTTATTGACCTTGAACCGATTTTATGTGGTACACGGGGCTCAAAAATCTGTCAAAAAAATGTTTTAGTACGACTTTCGTAAGCTACGAAGGCGCACTGCTTGATGGCTTGTTGGGGCGTCACAGCTACTGTAGTCAGGAGCCTCGCATAGTAATACGTACTGTGCTTCAATGTGATATTACTGTATTGTTTGTCTACAAGGACCCCAAAATGGCACCTGTTAAGAGATATGCTTATGAAGCGGATTTCAAACTCAAGGCTATCAGTCACATAGTAGAACATGGGAATAAAGCAGCTGCAAAATCTATCTGTCTTTGTTATTATGCTCAGCTTCATTTTAGTTTACATTTTAACTGCACAATTGTGAGCTTTTTGTTATGCACGAAAACAATATTGTGTTATTTTTATTCACGGAGCGTTAGTATTTAATAAATGCTGATAATTTATTTCTGAGCAATTTTTTATGTACATCTACCCTGTATGTTAATAAAAGTGCCTGTGTGACATCTGCAACACATAACTTTGACCAATATCTCTCCTTTTTTACTTACTTTATGTGTTTAAAAAATATTGTCATATATACAGTATATATCATATATCTGCAAAGCTGTTCATAGGAACAACCTCCCTCCATGGTGGTCTAATCTTTATTCGGATGCTGAATTGATTGATTTATGAATTTACTGTAAAGATTTCATACATTTGTCTTATTGCAAGCAGAAGGCTATCCTGGGATTCTTCCTGCTACTCCACTTCATTTTCGAAAACTCTAAATCAAGCGCTTCCCATTATAATTTTCTAATTTTAGGATGATGTTTTCATACACACATCTACATCTACATCAAACCAGGCTTGTCACATCCAACCTGCTTTTAGTCTTATATATATATTTTAGTCTTATATCTTTGAGCAATTGTTCAACAGCAGATCTGCTACGCGTGTGCAGTCTGTGCTCAGGCAGGTGACTGCTTGCAACTGTCTGAGGTAACACTGTCAAGCACCATCATTATAGCAGTCTTGTACAATATATACAGTAAATATATTATAGTGTTGGTCTATAAAATGTATTTAGAACACAAAACCTGTTTTTTGTTTGTTTATTTGTTTGTTTTTTACTACTCTAGTACATCAGTAAAGTGCAGGAGCCCATTTTTCCTCCTGGATAAAAGTCTAATACAATCTGAGAAAACAGCTTAGCCATGAATCATGCTATGTAATATCTGTGTTTGGCACTGCCATGTATTTTTAGACTCATATTTTTAATAACAAATACTTTAGGTTGTGTAGTAGGGAAAATACCGGGGCAATAATGAAATGTACACAAAAAAGTGTGGCAATGAGCTTGCATGCATAAAAGCTAAATATGAGCTAAATATGATATTGTAGTCCATAAGTTGACCTCTGTAAAGCAAACATACAAAATGCTGTGTGCTATCTGTGAGGCTCATTTGCAATACATTAAAACCAAATCAAAACAAAGCTGTTAAGCAATGAAAGGTTCATTTTTTAAAAAAATGTAGATTTAGATTTGAAAACAATTCTATGGGGTGACTGTTGCCAAGTCATTTTGATGTCATAAGCTTCCATTCCAAAATGTCACAGTTAGGTTTGATTTGGTGCTCAGAACACTTTAAGACAAACTGTATTGGATTGTAAGACAAACTTCAGACAAAAAAATAAGAAAAGCAGTCACAAAACTCAAGATGAGGGAAGAACAGCCTCCATACAAGTCGAGCTCGGTGTATAATGAACTCCGTTTTGAGGGAAAATTTTGTGATGCAATCATCAAAGTGGAGGATGTTGAATTTCCGGTCCACAAGATAATCCTGTGTAACTGCACCCCGTACTTCAGGTGAGTTGCTTACCTGATAATAGGGAGGAATGATTACCGATTTATACCCCAGGAAAATGTAATTCATGGTCTTAGTCTGTGAAACAGTGCCAACAAAAAGGAATCATGGAGCTTTTGTGATAAAAAGACGGTCACAGTCAACTGACAGATATACCCAAAACATAACGCAAACATTTGCACTTGGTGATTGCATGAACTAAATTCAGACTGTGTTGAGCTGAAGTTTCATTTATGTGTTTTATTAAGTTACATTAATATCTTATCAAGTGTTATCCACACAGTAAAACACACCAGATTTACTAATACTAAAAAGGTTGAACGCTATTATGCAGTTATATGCTGTGCAAAAGTTTTGAGTTGCCTCTCATGTGGTTATGTTTTGCTTTGAATTAGATGATTTTTTAAAAAGTACACTTGAGCAAAAGTTGTCGAAGGATAAGACTTTTTGGACATTTTTTACCCTTTTCGGTCCAGTCCTTATACCTGACCATTTTCAGAGGAATGCTTTTGTTTTTGTTCATTTGTTTATTTGTTTGTTAAGCCATTTAAGCTAGGAATGGTTATGGAAGGGAAACAGGGACTGTAATTGAGCAAAATGCACTGGAACTTCCATAAGGAAAGGAAACAGGCTGAGATATGCCAAATTACACGATAACTAGACCTATGATCAGTGGAAACAGGCTTTATGGCGTTGACTTAAACATTTGTCATAGAGGTACAACACTGAGTGTCTAGAATCAGCTGTAAAACATGGTGGAGGCTCTGTCACTGCATTTTGTTTGGAAATAGCTTCATATACATACTGCCAGTGTAATAAATCCAACACTCAAGATCACTAAACATGTACAAACTCTGTTTTGGAGTTATATCCTCTACAGCAATATGGACTAGACATGAAAAGACTATCACAATAATCACATAGTAACACATGCAATCAGGTGATCATTTCCATTCCAGTCAATTGATTTTATATATTTATCCTACTTGTGCTTGACATGGTTTATTATCTTGTTGCTTCCACACCTTTTAAAATTCTCTGCTCCGTGTCCATCTCTACCCCCAGAGCTCTCTTCACCTCTTGGAGCGACCCAGACAAACAGGTCTTCAACATACCTGGCTTGTCTCCTGAGATGATGGCACTCATCATTGACTTTGCATACACTGGCAGTGTTTCTGTAACGGAGGAAAACGCAGTGGAACTTCTCATGGCAGCTGATCAACTCAATGTAATGGACATTGTAAAAATCTGCAGTGACTTCGTGGGGGAGCAACTCTGCGCAGAGAACTGTGTTGGCATTTGGCAGTTCACAAAAGTACACTTATCACCCGAACTACGTGCCAAGGCCTTCCACTACATCATCAGTAACTTTGAGCAGGTGGTTCTTCAGGAGGAGTTCCTGCAGCTAACTGTGGAGGAACTTGATGATATTCTTGAAAGAGATGACCTCAATGTACAGTGTGAGAGCACTGCGTACGAAGCACTTATAAAGTGGATTAGCCATGTGCCTGCAGAACGGGAACAACACCTCATCGCTCTGTTGTCTAAGGTGTATAAACTTCCATTACTACATTTAGTTTCGACTTAAATCTTCAGCATTTAAGTCATAGATTGAGTCAATCCATCTGGGTATAAGGATGTTTTATTATCTCCAGCTGTTGCTCTTTTCAGCTGTAGCCAAACCACATTTAAGCAATTCTCTTCAAGATCATTAAAACCGTATCAGAAAGCTTCACACATATTATAGAATAAATTGTATTTATTTAGTGTAGTTGCTAGGCCTATGACTAAAAACTGTCCGTAACAAGTACAACCATTCTCCCCTGTTTGTGTTCCGCAGCTTTATTTTAGTTTATGTCATTTGTTTTTTATATAAAGTTTGTTAGGGAAAATATTCTAAAACACTTCTTCAGTAAAGACTCAGAGAAGAGAAACACACAGAGTTCTTGCTAGCAAGGGCAGTCTCAGAGACTCGCGCTGAGCTTTGCCCTGGTCTTTATTTATACTTCAGTGGTGTGTGTGTGTGTGTGTGTGTGTGTGTGTGTGTGTGTGTGTTTGTGTGTGTGTTGTGTGTGTGTGTAACTGGTCTTGATGATGATGATGATGCTCTATGTGATATGTGTGTTTGTGCGGTTGTGGATGTTGGTGTGGGTGTGTGTTCGTTCTGCTCGAATACACAACAGGGTCATTTTTTTTTTTATAATGAAGGTCGGTACATCCTTGGT